AATCCCAGGCAGAATCCCAGGCAGAATCCTAAAAGCGTGTGCCAACCAACTCGCAGCCCACTTTACAGACATCTACAACGCCTCTCTGGCACAGTCCACTGCTCCGGCCTGCTTCAAAGCCACTACAATTATCCCTGTCCCAAAGAAAACCACCATCTCCTGCCTGAATGACTACCGTCCCATCGCTCTCACACCTATTGCGATGAAGTGCTTTGGGGGGCACATTAAGAACAGTCTTCCTGGCACTCTGGATCCACATCAGTTTGTCTACCTGGCAAACAGATCTACAGACGATGCAGTCACCCTGGCATTGCACACAGCACTCAACCATCTGAAAGGAACAAACACATACGTCAGAATGCTGTTTGTTGATTTTAGCTCCGCATTTAACACCTTAATCCCATCCCGACTGGTATCCAAGCTCAACACCCTTGGAATCAGTAACTCACTCTGCAGCTGGATTATGGACTTCCTCACTGGCAGACCACAGTCAGTCAGAATGGGTGACCACACCTCCCCCACCCTCACACTCAGCACCGGCTGCCCACAAGKCTGTGTGCTCTCACCCCTGCTCTTCACCCTGTACACTCATGACTGCCTCGCTAAACACAGCACCAACACATCATCAAGTTTGCTGATGACACTACAGTCATTGGCAATATCTCTAATGATGACGAGGGGGCGTACAGGGAGGAAGTGAAGCTCCTGGCAGAGGCGATTGCTCTAAGACTGCAAGGGAAGATCAGCTTCCCCTAAAATGTAAAAAAATAAGTGATCAAATATATAATGTTGTGTGTTCATGTCATTGACTAAATATGCGCTATAACGTGCTCAACTTTTGTTCAGAATCATCTTCTTATCACTGGTAACGATGCAGCTTTCCTCTCCCTCATTCCCACAGCTTCACAGAGCTTTAAACAGTCRGACGCTGAGAGTCCACAGAGTTCAATAGTGAAGCAAAGACTGCAGTAAAACGAGACGAGTCATTGGATAAATGCTGGGCTTTGTCCCGCCCATCGGACGCTGAGCGTCTCTGGGGGTCGATGGAGCAGTGGGCGGGTTCGGACGCCCAGATTCTGCATGATGATTGAATGATCTGTCTGAGCCTGAATCCCTTTTTGATTGACAGCAAAATGAGCGAATCAGAGATCTTTTGGTGTAAACGTTCAGTGGAAGCAGTTTTTAGTTTTGTTTCTGTTCTGAGCTGAACCAGAGACTTTCCTAATCCTCTTAGCAGCATTTTCTTTGTTCAAAACGACTAGCGACAAATCAAGTTTTTATTTCTGGTGGGTTTTATTTTATCTACTTGTGTTTGGAGACAGACTTCTATCACTCTTTCTGACATTTATCACAGTTTCTGTCCAGCAGGTGCTGCTGAGCCCTTCCACCGTCACAAAGCACTTCACAGATGGACACACTTCACTCTAGCCTCACACC